ACCTCCCTATTTTCGGTATTTTGGTGATTTTAACGACAATATTCACCGGAAATGTTTCAAATTTGGTATTTTAAGTTCGCAATAGATACTACAGCCCATGGCCCAATAAGAAAGGTTGCTTAACTTCAAAGAAACAAGAAAAATGAAACTCTGTGCTGGAGTCCTGTAGTGTCAAATAGACTTTTAAATATGCAACAGTTGGTTTTGTTTATTTTTCATTTTTTAACAAAATTCTTATATTGGGGAAAGCCCACAGAAAAAAGTAGGACAATACATTTTTATCCCAAAATTTTACAATGTGTTGCCCATTAACGTCGAAAATATGCATTATATTTGCAACCGGTTTTGAAATAATTTCAAATTATTGTATTTTTTATTCAAAACAATACATACACAAATACAAAATTAGTATATGTTTTGACAGAATAAGGCCATCAAAAAAAATTATTTAGGGGTAGCTTTGTTCTACCTTATGTAATTGTGCCATGTTACAGCCTATTATTTAAAATTATTTCATGCAAAATTGACAGCCATCTGCTTAGGCCAATTTTGGCATACTTTTTCCAATATTTCGGAAGGTATCTCACAAACAATTTTTCAATGATGTCTTCCGATGCTCCAATTGAAGAAAGATTTAGCCCCACAAAAAATAGTCTAAGGAATTAAGCGGTCTCGAATGTGAAATAAAATTTTCACCCAACTCACCTCTCAATAAGTTCAATGTTACGCGTGCTGTGTCACGAGTCCGTTTGACACGAAACCATTTGTCGTGCAAGTAAAGCTCATGCATTTCGGACAGAAGAAAATCTTAGATATTATCTCGCGGTACCGCATCATCTTTGAAGAAGTACAGTCCATAAACTACACAAAACCGTAATTTTTATACCCCACAACACTATGTGTTGGGGGTATTATAAGTTTGATTGGGCCAAAAATTATGTAACACCTCGAAATATTCGTTTCCCACATAGGAAAGTATATATGGATCTTCCTATCTCGCCGAGCTGAGTCGATCTAGCTATGTATGTCCGTCCGTCCGTCTGTCCGTTTGTCCATGTTAATTTGTAATCACTCTACAGGTCGCAATTATGGCCCGATCACGAAATTTAGAACGGAGGTGGGGGTAGGGCCAGAATAGAACCCTTTTGGCGATGATCGCATAATATTTAGGGGTTGAAATGGACCAAAAACTGAAAAATTTCATGATTTTGCAGTTGCTCTACAGGTCGCAATTATAGACCAGTCGAAGCGGAAGTTAGCATGGGGCTAGAGCTTAGAGCTGGGCAGAAGCCTTGCAAATTTTGATGGTCATCGGGTAATATTTAGTGGGTGAAATAGACCATAACATTTGTGTTATATAAAAGTCAAATTTCTATAAAACCGCGAATATTTTTAATCCCGGCGAAATCAGAAATAGACGAACAGGTCAACTCTGACCGTTACGTAGATGCCGATAGTAAATATATCGGATGTATACAGCGAAATATATACAATGTATATATAGAAAGGAGGGGGATGTTAGCTAGAATGCCTATATCTTAGGAATGACTAGACCGATTTCGACAAATTTTGTCAATTCAGAATGCCCTCTTAACATAAAAGTATAAAATCTGAAAAAGTCGCATAAAAAGATGCCTATAATGTTGTTAATATAGATTTTGTAGTATTTTGTGACATATTTTTATTTTTTCATATTTTTATCGCATGCGATTTTTTCATTACATTTTTCGGTACATTGTTGCGAATGATTTACGTAACAAGTATACGCACGTGCGTTTATATCAGGCCATCGCCAAAACTACATTTTCGTCAGTTTCACAGGCACTAACTTTGTAAAAATATCTATTTCTTTCTCAATAAATATCGTGTGCGTTAATTCTATTGTAGAAGAATGCAGGTAGTCGCATCGACACAGCTGCTGAGACAATGAACTGTCAAACCGATTTTGGAATTGAAAATCTTGAATGAAAAATTATTGAAATTTGTATAAAATTGTTCAAAAATACATATCATTACAACCTCCGATCTACGTCGAATAAGAAAACATATAAAGATCTACTTATTTTTGACAAAACACTTTAAATTTTTTGACATATTAATGTTCCCAAGCGTTGTTGCATCTACCTATATTCATGATCATAAAAACAAACAAAGAGACCAACCAATCTCAATTAAAGCTAAATTGCATTATTATTTGATGGTGTATTTATTGATCAATGTTTAGTCTTAAAGGCCTACCACATAGCCGACGTGCCATACAAAAATACTCACCTTCCCCACGATGGTTAATTTTTTTGTGCATCCGTATTACCCAAATACTTACACATCGAAACAGTTATTTAAAATGTTACTCTTCCAATGGCACATATTAATATTTTTCCTATTATTCGTATTTATTTTCAGCACACAAAGAACCCAAAAACGGTTCCGTCAACCTGAAACTTGTTAAACTTTGAAAAATTGTACGTTCAACGTATTTCGATTACATTCAACTCTAGTGGAGAAAAACGTCAAAGGCGTACATCTGGTATTATTTAGGCCTGTTACACAAAAATCTATGATGGTGCTATGGTGAGTTTCCATGGGAGGCCTTTTGCTAAAGCAGCTTTATATATTTTCCAATATAAGATGGAGTATTCCATGATCGAAATATTTTATTTAGAAGATTTTATAATGAAGTCGGCATGAATCGAGTTATTTCCGTATTTGACATTTCGGAATATGATTTTGGGGTTTTTTTAAACATTTCAATGTTTTGGATGAGATCTGCAATTGCATTCTCCTCTTCGACCTGTCACAACTGGAAGGGCTCTATTTACTACCGGTAAATATAACTTTTGGACCTCTTCGGAATTGTTAAAACTCAATCCACTTCTACTGTGGAATTTGGTGTTATTCAGTGCATTGAAAAGGATAGTAGCAGAAGTGATAATGTCTCATATTATAAAAGATCTAATGAGGTGCATTGAATTGTGAATGGAAGCACAGAGGTGTCTTCAATCTCCACGCCAAGATCGAAAATTGACAATATCAGCCCATATCCTACATTGTTTTTAAATTTGTTACTTGAAGTGTTATTCGGTACCTATAGCTTTGAAATTTAAAGACCCAAATTTATGTAAACCCGTAAATCACGGTATCACCTATATTCAGTAGTTTTATAAGGGTTTTGAAGGAATCGTCTGAAATTTGGAATTTGAAGTTCGCAATGGGTGCCCGGCATTCTGTACAAAATTTGTAATATGGGATACTTAAATTTTCGTTCACATATTTATTGTAAATAGTTAAAAAATGTTTTTTCGCACATCCATAATTTAAGAAAAAAATGCTAGATTAAAATCTATCGTGTTCACAAAATTGGATGCTGCTCCCTTGAGCTCTGTCAATGTATTTTTGTGAGCAAAATATAAGTAGCATTTATAATCTGATTTGGATGAATCATATTAGTTTTATGTTTTGGCGATAATCGGTCCAAATTTAAATTTAGCTCCCAGCTGTCAGATTGCTTCAGTTTCAACGATGGCAAAACATGCAATATCCCATATGTCTACGTTATATTAAAATAATTTATCCGAATTTTCAACATATTTGTTAACAACTTACAGTTTAGCCCAATGTTTTATAATGGTAACTCTCGATATTCGACATTTTTATGGCTATAACCAAATTTTACCAAGGAACTGTCTGAATGGGCACTATGTAACTGCACCAACAATTTGCAGGAATTTTAAACGGAATCAACTAAAGTTTAAAATTAAATCATTAACACTGTTTAGAAAATGTCCACGTTTTTGTATAGACATTGGTATATCTGCAAAACAGGAAAATGTTTTTACGTTTGATTGTTTGTAATTTATAGGCCCCCACATATATTACAGCATCGCCTGAAAGTAACATAGGCTATTGAATTTTTTAGAATTCCACTGGGAACTGGAGATATAACATCAGAATCGGAGGTACCTCCAGAAAATTAGTTTTTGCATGCACATATCTATTGATCGGTTATAGATTCAGTCTCCAAATTTAGAATGTATAAACGAAACGGTACAAAAATAAATTTGCCAAATTATATTGAAATCGGTTAAAATTTGAATATAGCTCCCATATATATATTTTCGGTCGATCTCATATATTTGATGCACGAAACGCTGTATGTTTGTCCGACTCCAGTGAAATTTGGAATGAGGGACGGAATTTGGAACAAAACTTATTTTCTCAAATTATATTGAAATCGGTTCTGATTTGGATGTAACTCCCATTCATATATCTTCGACTGATTTCGTTTATTTGATGCACCAGACACGATATATATGTTATATTCCAATGAAATTCAGAATGAGTGACGGGATTTGATCAGAAAATCAATTTGCAAAATTTTGTTGAAATCGGTTCAGATTTGGATATAGCTCTTATATATATTTTTCTGCCGATTTGGTGTATTTGATGTACCAAACACGCTACAGATGTCAAATTTCAATGAAGTTTGGAATGTGTGACGGAATACTATTATTACGGAGAAGTAAGTAGGTTCGTATGTATTGCTACCTCGAATCCCACTAACAGCAACAAAATGTGGTTCAACTTTAAAAAAAAAAATCAGTTTCCTGTGCATTTGGCATTTCATAGGACAATTTATAAATCCCAAGGCCAAACTCATCGGGTTCCCGGACTAAATTTAGCAGGTATGTATTTATTTTACATTTGTTTCACATTACAATAAATACTTTTTTAATTCTATATCATTTATTCTATTTAAATTTGTATATAAAAATTTGAATATATTTAAAAGCGAAAGGAGTAGCTAAGCGCGACGAGTGCAGCTAGTAGACTTTATTAATACATTAAAACCTCTTTGTATGAGGGCTCCCCTAGATGGCATTGTAAGATAATTTGAGAATAATTAACATTTTCCCTTTGAAAGTAAGCTTCAACAAAATGCCATTGCAAAATGCTCTAAAAAGTACATACCTGTACATTTGTGTAAGTAAATCAAACAAACATTTAAGATAAATTGAACCTAAGGTTCTAGAAAAAAGTTTTCATTTTTATTTATTGACACATGAATATCTTAATGTTGTTGTCGTAGTCGTTTCGATGCATACAAATGGATAAAAAATACAATAAAGAAATTGGAAGTGTCGTTCGTCAGTAGTCACTTGGCTTGTGTTTTTTTGTCCGTCTGTCCGTTTGTCTCTCCGCATGCAGAATAATAAGTAATATTTTTGTTGTATCTTTGAGATAATAAACAAAAACCGAGTAAGAACAAATAAATACAACACATACACACACAGCATTTCTTGATTTTTGTTTTGTCTTAGCAGCCAATGTATCTGTAAGAATACAGAATATGTATTCGGCCTCCATAGCCCAAGTGTTAAGGAGGGGAGCAGGGCATGGACACATCCAAACATGGGACCATCAAAATCGACTGCACTCTGATTGACTCGCTTGCTGCGACTTGGCGGTGTATGCCGCTGCTAAGCAAAAAGTGTGGACACTCAATGTGGCCACGATGAAAATGATAAACAAAGAACAGCACAACATGAAACGGGTTTGATGAAGTCTATGGCTGCTTCCCTGGTTGCCTTTCTTCCCGTCTATGGATTTTATTACACCACGGATGGATGGATGAACTACATACAGTATTGGTTGGTTGGCTGGTTTGCTGACTAGCTAGCAAGCTGGCTGTTGGAATCATGATGATGTGTGGATGTTGTGCGAGTGCTCTTACACAGTATAGAGAGCAGTGCATACGAACATATGTATGCAGTATGTATGTAGGTAGGTATAGTATGCATGAATAATGAATTTTTTGATCGGATGATTAGTTTTTCTTTCTTTTTTGCTGTATTGTTGTAATCTATATAATCAGTCTTCCACAGTCACGTCTCTAGTAGTTTTCCATATTTTTTTTGTTTCGGAGTTTTCGAAAGTGGCATCAATTCAATTGTTGGCTGGCTCTGAGCCGCTTGCCTGTACGTGAAGGATCATCTCGAATGGATCCCATTCCAAATCTGATTCGTTTTTAACACGTCTACGTGAGCTGGCAACAATTGCATGACCCGGCAAAAGTCCCACCAGGCCAGCAGTAGCAGCTGCTCCGCTGCCACCTCCAGCACCAATGACTCCATTGCCATGGGTAGTGTGCACTGTGAGTTCGCCATTCTCATCACACATGCTCAATTGTGGATGATGGTGAATGTGATGTGCTTGGTGAAGGGAGGCGGTGCTGGTACCTCCCTCACCCCCACCAGGCGGGGCCATAGTTGTGGAGGAGTTAAGACTGCTTGTGCTAGTGGATCGTATGTATCTTATCTGTTGCTGTTGTGGACTGTGCATGTTGTGTTGTTGGTGCTGTTGCTGGAGTTGTTGCTGTTGTTGCAATTGGCCCTGTTGTTGATGATGATTTTGCATTTGTTGCTTTTCACTGACAATTTCTTGGATATGTTCACGTGTTTGCTCACGCTCGTCAACTTTTTTGGCCAAAATGTCACGCATAAAAGACATGCGTTCGAAATGCTCCCACGAAGAATGGAAATGCTCTTGGCCATAACGAGCATGACGTTCCTTCTGTAACTCATCGACGTAACGTTGTTTGATAATCGACCAACGTGTCTGAACTAAACCTAGAAATTGACAATTCAATTGAAAATTTGTAGAAAACGTGGGTTTTTCAGAAGTCTTATCATTGGATACTTACTTGGTGTTAGCCCCAACTCTACAGCAACTTCTTTCCATACTGCCGATGTACGATTTTGACCCTTGGCTTGTTCTTTTTGCCGTCCAGCCCATAAAATCGGTCTAGCCTTGATGGCATCAATGATACGACCACGCATGCTGTTATTTAATGAACCCGGACGGCCAGGCTTCCGCAGTGGAGTCGTCGTGGTCTCGACTGTAACTGCAGCTGGTGGCACCAGACCCGTAAATCCAGTAAATGGAGTTGTTTCAACGCTAACTTCTGTTTGTGGAGCTACCGGTGGGAGCCAGGTGAAACTTCCGCTGGGCCGTCCACGGCCCTGAGATTGTGGCAGTGGTGGTGGTGACGGCAAGGCTGGTGCCATTTCACTAGCCTCAGAGCCATTGGAGCCTGCTGCCCCGACGATTTTGGCCACTGTTATGTTGTACATAAAAGACATGGGCTCAAAGTGTTCCCATTTGGTGGTAAAACGTTCCTTGTGTAAAATTTGGCGATGTACCAAGTTGTGATAGTGATATTTCATTTGGCTCCAAATCGATTGAAGTTTAACTAAGAGAGATGATATCAAGTGAGAAGAGAGTAAATATGTAACTGAATTCGAAAGAGCGAAAGCAAAAACAAATGGGAGAGAAAGAGAGAACACCAGAACGAGACAAACAGCATTTCCTCTTCGTTTTGTTTACTTACCGGTGGGTACGTGACCTCCAAACTGTTCAGCAATTTCATTCCACATGGGCGCTGTGACACTGCGGCACATGTGCAATTTATTGTTTGAATCCCATATTTCAGGATATTTCTTTATAGCCTTCAAAAGCTGGGCTCTGTTCACAAAAGGATCTTCCTTTGGCATTGTTCCAACCAACATCCAAAGCCAGCCCCAAGTAAAACAACTGCAGTCTGAACGCCACTTTCACTTCCTTCTGCTCGCCGACAATGCCACTGTCTCGTCCTTGCTGATGAGTACACTCAAAGGAGCCTCCTAATATCCTTGTTAATTTAACGCGCCGTAAAATACCGGTCTCAACGCGTCCTTTGACATCAATTATCGGCGAATAACTAAAAACAAAATCTGCGAGAATATGCGAACTGCAAATGAAAAAGCACCGTATGATTGGGGAAAATAGAGAAGCTCAACAACATACATAAAGCGCCACAACAAAAATACCACTACAACTACAGTGGGGCACGCAAACAGGCAAATCGAAAGAGGCAAGTACGCTCAAACAGAGAATGACGAAGACGAAAGAAAACCCAAACAAAAGACGACGCCACTCACACCGGCACACGAACACACGCTGGCCGACAATGTTGAATGCACTCAGATTTATGGTACACAGCAACAGAGTGTACGGAGCATGGCAGAGAACAGAGTAGTGGAGACAAAGTAAAATACACACAAAATAAATGTGGACAAGAGAACTGGCGAAATAAAATGCTCGCACAAATACCTATGCAGCAATGGCACCAACATTACAAACCGAACAGGCACTTCTGCCCACCGCCAGCCACCATTTCCACCAGCGTCGTCACCATCATCCGCAACTAACATCTGTGCCCATCATTACTAATATCATCGCGATAGGGACCCGGTGTACAAAGTACGAGGGAATCCCATGCACACACTCCCTCTTGAGAGGCACTCCGGCAATAAAACACTCACCCATACACTCATCGAGAGACTGCAAAATGAAAGAGTAAAACCCAAAAGAGAGTAACATAAAATGGCAAAATAGAATAAAAAGAATTGACAAAAACCGGCTTTGCTTACGAAGAGATTCGCCGGTAAAGTGTTGTCGTGAGGATTAGTAACAACATCGGTGGCGGCAGGCAGCATTGGCGACAACTTCAACATCGGGATGGTATGATTCTGGGTGGGACGCGAGTCCAGGAAAGAGTTAGAATTGCCTTCTGTAACTAATGACTGGTTGTTTGTTTCCCTCATTGTGGTGTGTGCAACCAGTTGATATAAAGCGGGCCGTAGAAAATGTTGTTTTGCCCTCTGTCAACATATAATAATACAAAAAATATGTCTTCCAAATATTCGTCATTATTTAATGCATTGCAAAGTTTATGTCAAAAGGTAGAATCCTGAAGTTCTGAGAATATTAGAGAACTGTGTTTTATAGAAATATGAACACTTACGCTCCTAGAGATTCTAACGTAACAAGTTAAAAATCTAAAATATATCTCTGAGGGTCATTCAGGGAAAAATGAAACTTGTACCACAGCAGTATGAGTGCTAAATTGTAGCAGTGAAAATTATATTACTAGTACAATAAGTGGGGTATTTTAAAACCCTTACTATAAGTGTTCGAAGTATTATTGGTGAATAGGTGTATTGTTACGTAGAGGCCTTTTTTGGAAATCTTTACCACAAGGATTCGAAATTTGCTAAATATAGTAGCATAGATAATGCAATAATGGCTGGAACTATGATTTTTAAATTTTCGAAAACAGTGATTTGTGAGTAACATAATTTTTCTCGATTTAGTGGCCAAATCATAAGCTATTATAATATTCAAATGCTAAACTTGAAAAATATATGTTTATATAGGCTATAGGCTGTAGTATCCATTACGAACTTCAAATACAAAATTTGAAATGATTCAGGGAAATAATGTCGCTAAAATCATCCAAATACCGAATATAGGGGGTACCGTTATATGAGGGCTATACGAAGACGTGGACCTACTTGACCGATTTTTTGTCTTAGGCCGTAGTATTCATTACGAGCTTCAAATACCAAATTTAAAACAATTCCAGTAAATAATATCGCTAAAATCTTTCAAATACCGAATATCGGAGGGTACCGTTATATGGGGGCTATACGAAGACATGGACCTACATGTCTCATTTCCTGTCTGAGGCTGCAGTATCCATCACGAACTTCAAATACCAAATTTTAAACAATTCCGGTAAATAGTGTCGCTAAAATCATCAAAATACCGAATATAGTGGGGTACAGTTATATGGGGGCTATACGAAGACGTGGACCTATATGGCCCATTTTCAATACCAAAAGTTCTGCAGGCATAATACACATTTGAGTAATTTTTTTTTAAATTACTTGATTTCGTTCGGAAGCTAGAGTGATTTCCACAAATGGATAGACGGGCGGACATTGATAAATCGACATAGAATTTTATGCTGATCAAGAATATAAAAACTTTGTGGGGTCTAAAATGTATATTTCGAGGTGTTACAAACGGAATGACAAACTTTATATGGTGGAGGGTTTAACAAATAAAAAACGTTAAGTTCGGCAGAGCAAAACTTTTAATATCCCTCACCTTTGGGTAAAGAAAACCATTTTTATATACAAGTATCTGAATTCAAACGTGTCCCACTTTTAACTACACATACCAGTAAGACCGTTTGGATGATGCTATTAAACTTTTTGAAAAAAAAAACATAAAGTGAGGCCGCTATGTGGGGCGAAGTACAATTTTTAAACAAATCGGTGGAAAAATGTGGTAAAAATCATCAAAATGCTGAATGACCGGAGGTACCATAAAGTTGGGGCTATACCAAAACATGGACCTATGTATACTATGTTCCGCCACCGGAGCTGGAACTACATTGGAGCCATTGCGAACTACAAATACCAATTTTTGGACAAATCCGAGGAAAAATCTGTACAAAAATCATCAAAATACCAAATATTGGGAGGTACCGTTATATGAAGGCTATACCAAAACGTGGATCTATATAATACTATGTTCCGAGGTAGAACCCATTGAGAACTGCAAATACCAATAACAAGGTAACTGATGAGGATTGGTGGCACTTTCCGAAACCTATGTATTCCCTGCCTTATCCCCTGGTAAACATTACCATCGTTCTCCACTAATAAACGAACGTTGTTTTTATAAAAACAACAATAAAGGTATTAGGCCTGACCATTTTTTTTAACGTTTCTTGAAATTGAGGGAAATAAAATTGAGATTACTCTTCTGTAGAAGCACTAATCATGTCTTTAATCATCTTCTTGGTGAGACCGCAAATTTCATGACAATCGATATGATATGAAAGATGAAATCTCGAAATTTCCGCCCAAGTGAATCAATTGTAAGTTTGATCACTAGTAATATTTCTCCACGCAGAAAAAATGTGTATATATGAGTGTAGTATTCCATATCAAGGCCCATTAAATAGGTCGTCCGATTAGCCCAGCTGATTTCACCAATTCCGTCATAATACATTTGTTTATATTTGGAATTCGCCGAAAAAAATGACAAGCTTTCATTATACAATAGGCCTGTCTGGTTATTTTCCTGAAGTAACTGTCTAGTCTTCTTTCTTTCTGAGAGTTTCGTCCTCTTTTATTCTCAGCTGATTTATGAAAAACAAAGCAATAAAAAGAAATGAAGTAAAAACAAATATTCTATACAATTAGGCTTGTGATTACCAAAATAAATACGTTTTAAATGTGCTTACCCAAACATAAATCACAGAAGGAGAAGAATAGAAAATGATTGCAAGAAGAAATTTGTCCAGAATGATTTGCAAACACTCATTGAAAGCACAGTCAAAATTCCTCTCTCCAGTAACTCTCTTTTGCAGAACTTTTGTGTTAAAAGTAACAATTGTTAAAAATGTTAGGGTAACCAGACATACCTAATTCTATTCTGACTGCTTGACTGCAAATGCGATTTTTTTTTTCTCCATTCCAAAGTACGAAGACTCAAGGTCAAAAAGGAGCACAAATTACCAAAAGTATTTTCATAGAAACGTCTTCTGTTTAATTTTATTACTATTATGTGCTTTGTTTCGTACGCTTTACTTCGTTTTTTCCTCGTAGATGTTTATAAATTCGCCACAAAATAGATAAACAAAGGCGAATTACTATTCGCTTCAGAAGAAATGTTGACAGTTCGAAAAAGTAAAACAGCTGATTTTAACACAATTCGCCCTTTACACGACCTAATAAATGGACCTTGGTCCATATATAGTTCCACCTCCTGATTTCAAGAATTTTAGAAAATCAACTATTTCATATAACATAGCAAAATATGTCACGGTGTGGGATATAAAAAGTTTTGCCCCGTCTAACATATCTCCGTTTTTTCTGTATTCTAATATGTTTGTATTTTATTCGAATAAATTTACATTTTGGCCCCTTCAGTTTTTCAAGTTGGACCACACAGATCAGACAAGCGAAGTGTTTGGTGCAAATGCACAAAACATTGAGTGTCAATGACGAGAGTTTCGCTTTCTGCCACAGAGAGTTAGTTCTTTGCTATTCACGGCGTATACATATTGAGGCTCCCTCTCGTTCTTTGTTGTCTTTCTTCTCTCTAATATCTAGGCTGTTACTGATTTATCAGCAATCTCTGTGCATGCAATTTACAACAATGTACACAACACTTGTACGCAACGAGTGCAGAGATACCAAAATACGAATAATTACCTTCGTATATATACGTACACTGGTGGCCAAAACTAAAGCAACTGAAATTACAAGGAGAATGAATGCCCTGTAACTTTTTCAAAAATTAAGAAAATGAGAAAGTTTTTCTTGTTTTAAATAAGGTACTTTATTCACTTTTTAAAAACCTAAAACATAAAACCAAAATTCATTTTTATATAAAAAATTATGTTTGGTAAAGTCAATTAACCCGATTTTGGCTTGGACAAAACAAAAGCAACTCTGTTGTACATTCATATAACCGCTGCAATTTCAGTGGTTTTTACTGTGATATTTATCGCTTTTTGCTTCCTTCGACAATTTCGCTTGTCATAAATCCTTTTTGAGAAGTTTTTTACAACAGTATGTGTTTTTCTTTTCGTTTTTTAAGTACTGCCAAAAAAAAATGTAAAAATGGCTAGAAGCAAATACTGTACCTGAATAAAACAGCAAATTATCAGTGATTATCAAAACAACATATCACAGAAAATGATTTCCGAGAAATATTTCATAAATATTTATGTGATTTCATAATTATGTCTGTGCACTAAGTCGGTTTTTGAAACTGGATCAGTAGTAACAGTCCATAACGGATGAAGGCCGTGAAGAACTTCAGCCCATACTGATCCACAAATTGTGAGAGAAATAAAAAACATCTATTTAAGAGTTCAACAGGATTGGTGAGAGAGCAATCATTGGATATAAGCTCGAGATCAGTGCGTAGACGAGTAGTGGCAGCTGGTCTGCGTGCCCGTAAGACATCAAAAAACCATTTATATCTGAAAAAATCAAAAAGGCTTTCGGAAACGATAATATTAAGTGGAATCAAGCTCAATGGAAAAAACATTATTTCTGGGATGAGTCTACGTTTAACATTAAAGGCTCAGACGTGAAAAATTTTA